TCGTTTTTGATTAATAATTCGGGTGTATTTATTTTTTTTTTTTTTTTTTTTTTTTTTTTTTTGATGGGATGGTGCATTTTAAATCCTCCATTTTTACACCATTTGATTATATTTAATATAAAAAATTAATATTTTTTTTTATCAATACTCGAGTTATTATTGACAGTGAAAATTAGTCAACTCAAAATTAAACCTCTCTAAGAACACTCACATGCGTCACTCACGAATAAATCAAGAAAATTGTGAAAAAAGTAAAGAACACAAAAATTTATTGTGGTTCGACATAAACTTCTTTGCTTACGTTCACTTGTGAATGCACTAGTATTCTCTGAATTACAGTCTTTCTTGGAGTAGTAAAATAGTGCGTAACCTCCTGAATGAAGGGTTCGGACTCTATTTATATGCCTTCCCCAAATCGGATCTCCTTATCTCTAATGGTGTGGGGATAATTCCCTCGTCCCTAATTCTCGGGATTTGACTGTTGTGTTTTCATATTTGAATGGCTAAATCTGGGAAATTATCCTTATCGGTTATCTGGTTTTCAAATTTGAATCTGGACAGTTGTTGCAGTTTATCCTTTCTTGATTCGGCGGGATTTAATTTGAATCTGATCAAACTGGTCTCTCGACGTCATGGCATTCACACTTAGGCAGAGTTCTCGACCCATACCTTTCTCCTGCGAGAGCTTTCCTCGGCTTAAAGGCATTTCATACTTCACCAACTCTTCAACGTTAGTGACCAATCCTCGCCTGAGATTATCTCAATGCTCAGCAGTCAATGTCGATTACTCGACTATGGTGCAACAATTGCCCCCAGTGTGTAATATCACACTGCGATGTTTCAGGCTATACAGCATCTAGAGTCCTACGTGGTAATTTCTTCGCGGGCAAGTTTTGGCGGCTACCTGTCGGTACAGTACTATCATTACATCGAGTTTCTTGGGTAGTAGAGCAGTTAAGTCGATCATGTTAACAGTCGCAACTCCTATCCCCTAATGACATGTGGCAGTCGAGGGATAAATAACAACCGTTGGATCAAATTTTATTTCTCCTGCACTTTTTTGGACGGTTGGATCGCGTCTTTTCGGATTCACCGTTGGATGAACTCATTTTGAATTCTACAGTCAAGATTTGAAGTTCTTTGGACTTCCCTGAGACTTCTGGGTTTCCCCTTCGGTTATATATATCCCTTCTAAACGACATTTGGATACTTAATCACCAAAAATTGTCGTTACTCTGCCAGATTTTTCTCAGAGCCTTTCCTTTTCAGACTCCGGCCTCTGTGGACATTCGTTGTTCTTCTTCTCCATCCTCGGGCCTTCAGACCATCTTCCAAGAATCAGTAAGTTGCTCTGGCTTTTCCCTTTTCTCTTCGTAAAGTAATTTCGAACTTTGGTTCCTGCAAAAACAACATTTCGAAGAAAACAATATAAGCTTAAAACGAACTTACTTATACGATGTTGTTGCTCATGGATCTGGGTTGGATTTCTTTGTGATAGCACTTTCTTGAGTTTGGTTGTTCATTTTAGGGTTCTCTAACCCATTTCTGGATTTTGGAGACCCTTGTATGAATTTTCCCTCATTTCTGAGTTTGAGTCCTTTTCTGGGTTTTAGGTGTGAATCGGGTATTGACAATACCAGATTTTTTGGTGGTTTTGATCCAAACTTGCTTCTTTCTTCTTCTCAAACTCTGTTTTTGACCTCTCGACGACTAGGCTCTAACTTGCCCTCTCTTATGCATTTCCTGAACATGCCGCCCAAACGAGTTAGAGGTCGAGAGGTCACCACCTCTAGGGTCAGAGACGAACCTGAAGAGGCTGCGACGTCAAGCGCGGCTTCCATCGATAGTGGGGATTCACTGCTCCGCCAAATAGAAGATTACGCTAAGGGGTCTTCCTCGCCTTTTCATTTAGAGGAGCTCATATTGATCGACGATGAGGATGATAGTTTGAAGGCTGACACCCCGACAGATCGTAGCTATGGGGTTGCGTCGACTAGTGGTGTTTCTTGCATGGTGACTGATGTTAAGCTGTCAAAAATTAAGCCTAAAGTTTCCATGAAAGCATTATGTGCCGCACATATCGATGCTAACAATTTTTATTTGGTAATACCTACTCCCAATGATATAGCTCATAACCCACCAGCCAACCATATGACTGTATATACTAGATTCCTTTCTTTTGGACAAACTGTCCCCTTTCATGTAACGATCGGAAAAATTTTAGGTCTAATCCGAACAATCTGGTATTTGACCGAAATTCTCTCCGGAACAGAAAGTAGTAGAATTCTCAGCTTGATCAAGGAAATGTTATGTAGAAACTTTATGTACGGGGTAAAATTTCTCGAAAAGTGTAAAGTTATAATACGAATATTTTTACAAAGAAAATTTGTAAATATCATTCATGAATAGTGAAATATCAGTTAAAAGTCAAAAATAGAAATATTAGAAGTAAGGAAAATAGTAAAAGTTCCTGAAACAGGACTTTCCTGAGTCAGCTAAAGCGGGAAACTGCTCAAAAATCAGTTTCGCAAGGGTAAGCGTTTTGGGCAATTCTAAGTCAATTAAAATGAGAATTTCAGAAAAAGAAATTGACTAAGGAGATACCCAAGAGAATTGGGTTGAACATGAGAAGTTTGACCCAGGGTACTCGACAGTCCAGAAAAGCAGTACAGAACCTATACCGGGTGTGAGATTATCGGTACCGGAAAGAGACTCATTTTGAAAAATAGAAAGTAAGGTCTCGACAAGAAACATGTGGGGAACATAGAACCACTCAAATCAAGTGTTAAACCTAAGTACAATTAGTAAAATTAAATTATGGAATTAAAATAATTACTTTTAATTACAAAGTAATTAATATGAAGATATTATAAAAAATGTTAATATAATATTCATTATTGTTTTAAAAGAGGCCCGTGGAAGACATTAGAAACAAAAGGTGTTTTGTTTTCCTAAGTGTGGCCGACCAAGAAGAAAAAGAGGGAAAACCAAATGAAATCCAAGGAATCACCCGTTTTCACCGGAATTCCTTTCATTCAGTCTGGTAGAAACGTAACCCGAGGCATTCTAGCGAAAAATCTCAACTTTTAGATGTAAGATTTTAGATTTTTCATGAGAAACTGCATGCTTTTTCATTTTGATAAATAGTAACTCATCTCGAAAACAAATTCATAAAACTGAAAAATGAAATCGAGGTTTTGTCGGGGACTATGATAAGAGTCTAACGTGTAAGTATTGAAATGATTGAACAAAATTTTGTAGATTTGCACTAAAAATCCGAAAAACCCTAGAAATGGAGGAAATGTATTTTGTTCAATTTTTGTTGGAATCTGTGTTCAGGAATGTGAATCTTGACTCCAGGTACCGAAATCGGAAATAGAACGAGTTATTGAAAACTCGATAAACGAGAAAAATAAGGCAAAACTCTGCTGAAATTTCCTAAAATCTAGTTAGTAAGCAATGAGTTAGTAATATGATTTTAGAGAATGAATAACAGTTTTAAAGCTCGGAAATGAATAGATTACGATTCAGAAACTGAGATACACAAATATGTGTAAATTGCCTCTTGAGCTAGAATTCGGCCTTAAGGGGGAAAAGTTCATAAACGAGTTTGAAATTAGATTTAAGAATCTAAGTATGACGAATAATGATTTGGAATAGTTAATTGATACGTATTTCCATGAAACAGGTTTTGGCACGAGAGCCGAAGCAATAAGAAAGAACTTCCAGCAAGCAGGGATATTAACAAATTATTTGTAAGTATAGACATATATGTTTGTTTGGACTCGAGTAAGCTATAGTTAGACTTAGAACTATGAATTTACTTATGTTCCAAAGTCTATGTGATTATACGTGTTTAGAGGGCTTAGTGCTCTAGATTGCAGAAGAGCGACATATGGTTACCCTTATGCACAGTTAAAGTATGCAAGAAGTATTATTCATTTTATGTTAGCATGTGCACGTAGAGAAACGTTACATATCATTCAGAAAAGTTTTTGACACTTTGAAATGAAAAACCCAAAGTTCATAAATGTAGTCGCCGGCCTCCCAAGGGAGGAAATCTCAAAGAGAAGAGATTCCGACTAGACCAGACAGTAAACAGGGGCCCAGGCCCACAGTAACAAGAAAAGTAAGCAGGGGCCCAGGCCTACAGAAGTAAGAACAGAAAGACAGAAAGCAGTTTAACGCATGTTTCACACGGGCATATTTGTATCATAACTCTTAATGTAATTTTTACTAGTTTATGATGTATGCATGTTTATACTTGCTAAGCGTTAGCTCATCAGTTTACTCGTGTGCAGGTAACAAAGGTAAGCAACTAGCCATATAGTGGTTTTGCTTGATGAACCGGCGGAGACAAGGTGGCGGAAATGTCATGGGTACACGGGAGGGGTCTCTACTACGCTCACTTAGAAAAAAAATTCCGCTGCAAATTAATGTAACATAGAACATTAGTATGTATATTCAGTTTTAAGAAAAAGATATTACAACCATTGTCTTAGTAAAGAACAACGGACTGTAATAAGTTAAGACAAGTTTTCAGGGACTAGTTCTATATCCGAATCCTTAAAGTAATAGCAAGATGTGTTATTAGTATAACAACATAACATGTTAAGAACCTGAGGGTTAAAGTAAAGAAAAAAAATTACCCGTGTATGAACGTAATTTAAAGAGACGATAGTCTAGAAATGAATAATGGATTAGACTATAACACAGCCTAACAGTAGTAGTATAAGGTTCGCGACCGCGCCGTAAGGGCACGAGTCATCACATTTCACCCCTTTGTGAAGGCTCTCTGTGGCCTCCATAGGATTTCTCCTACACAGTTGTCACCCAATTGATGGGTGACAATTAACTCCATGATCATTTTATGGAGGAAATTTTTGAATCTTGACATCACCGTAGAGGAATTTTTGTATTGCAATGTCCTTAGAGATTCCCCAGGTCAGAGGGGATTCTTTTATTTATCCTCCCACTCCAAGTCCAAACCTTCAGTTCCTCCCACTATCATCGAAAAGACTTCCAGCTCGCATGGGTGAAAGCCCCAATTCTTCTTTCTCGGTGGCAACTTTAATTCTCATCCATTCGACAACGAGTGCCCTCTCGGGACTTACATAGTATTTAGTAAATACTTTATGTTATTGCTTTGCTAAACTTCTAATATAATTGTGATTTTAAGACGAGCTGTTTGAAAATGTGGTTTTTAGGTGCAGGTTAAGTTCCTTCACGGCCAAAGCTTTCTGGGACTGCTTTGGAAAGGGTTGAGCAAATTTTATCACTTCCTGACTCCAGTCGTAGTTCTACTGTTCTCAGCAGACCTAAGAACCACAGATTGTACAGGCCTCTCGTCGCTCTCAACCCACCTAGCCAACCAGTCACTCCACCCGCGAATCTTCTCCAAGGTGATTCAGAAATGCATCTTGATTGGTTGCAATCGAGATGTTTAGGATGTTCCTACATTCACTTTTTTTTGTAGTTGTGTCATACACCATGAGGTACGTTCTCCTAGGCAAGTCGAGGAAAAACAAGGGGATGCCTCTTACAGGTCGTCGGGGAAGCCGGCGACCCATGATGTCCCTGCTCGTGAGGCCCCCGAGATCCTCGACCGGTCGAGGATTGTGATATCTCCACCACCCAAGCGGTAAAGGGTGGATGAGTGCCAAGACCCTCTTGCGGTTGAAGGGTCATCACGAAGCTCTCGACGCCTTGAGAAGGGGAAAGGTGCTGAGGTGGCTGCCAACCTGGCTATTCCCTCAGCACCCGAGGAACCCCTCGTGATATCGGGGTCGAAGATTAACGACCCCCAATTCCAGGTGCCTGATGTGGTCGACCACCATCTCAACAAAGCTCTTCGCCTTCCTCCCCGCTTCAGCGTTCCCATCCGAGCCATCTACACGTACTTCTTTGAAGATTCCTAGCACAAATTTGCAGGGATGGGCCTCATGGAGCACTAACGCATAGTTGTTATGTGACAAGTCTGGGTATGTTTCGTCTGCTCACCCCTCGACCCATATATGAATTTCATGCCTCTTGCTCATCTTGTCTTATACCTTTTGATGTGTTGTCCAAGCTCTTGAGGTTACACTTCAAAATTATATAGAGCTCGAGACTTTGCTGATGTCGTGCGGGCTGGAGGCTTTTTGACTGCGTTTTTATTTTTCTATTTTTTGAGATCATTTTTTGCAGGCATGCTCAGAAAAATGCAACGATCATGTTCGCAAAATTTCAGAATTTTTTGACGTCATTTTTACTTTATTTTATTTTTCAAAGGCAAAAAATAGAGAAAAACATAAAAAAAAAAATAGAATATACATCAAAAAATGGTGTTGCTTGTTGCATTAATTCTTAAAAATCATGTTTTAATTTAAAATGTAAAATATAAATAAAAATATAAATTTTTTACCCATCTCGGCCCCTAAGCGCCCCACTGCTCAGGCCGGAGACTTTTTGACATCGTTTTTTTAAGCGATTTTTTACAAGCGTGCTCAGAAAAATGTAAAGATCGTGTATGCAAAATTTTATAATTTTTTAACATCATTTTTAATTTATTTTATTTTTCCAAGCCGAAAAATAAAGAAAAGATAAAAAAAATAGAATGTACATCAAAAAATGGTGTCACTTTTTGCATTAATTCTTAAAAATCATGTATTAATTTTAGAATACAAAACATAAACAAAAATGTGAACTTTTGACCCATCCCGACCCTGGGCGCCCCTCTACACTAGCCGGAGGCTTTTGACAGAGTTTTTTTTCATTTTTTGAGGCCATTTTCTTTTGACATGCTCAGAAAGGTGTTAGGATCGTGTTTGTAAAATTTCAGAATTTTTTGACATCATTTTTATTTTATTTTATTTTTCAAATGCGAAAAATAGAGAAAATCATAAAAAAAAAATATAGAATATACATCAAAAAATGGTGCCACTTTTTGCATTAATTCCTAAAAATCATGTATTAATTTTAGAATTCTAAACATAAATGAAAATGAGAATTTTTGACCCATCCTGGCCCCTGGGCGCCCCACTGCGCTGGCTTGGGACTTTTTGATAGCGTTTTTTTTTTTTTCATTTTTTGAGGCCATTTTATGCAGGCATGCTTAGAAAAATATAAGTATCGTGTCTGCAAACTTTCATAATTTTTTGACGTTATTTTTATTTGATTTTATTTTTCAAATGTGAAAAATAAAGAAAATCATAAAAAATAGAATATTCATCAAAACATTGTGTCGCTTTTTGCAAAATAAAAACTGTAAAAACTTTACAAAAATCCCAAAAGACCAACCAGCCAGGATCAAAAGCTCCTCAACGCCGGAAATTTATAAGGCATAATAGGAGCAGCGCTAGAAAAAAGCACCTGAGAACGGCGACGAGAGGGTCAGAAATACGGTGGCACATGAATCTCATGCGTCATTGCCGACGAGCGGTGACTGCTACATACGCCGGTCCATCTTTCTCGCCTCCCTTCCATGACCTAGTTCTCGGAGTTTTAACAGAATCCCATGGTGAATACGTCCTAAATCTACAGTAGAAGAACGACGACTTCTTACCCTTGAACAGCTCCAGTCTGATGTCTACTTAAAATTCTATTGGCACGAACTCAACGCTAATAACCTTTTCGCTCCTCAAAAAAAAAAAAGTAAAAATAAAATAAAATTGGAAGCTCGCAGCCCACCTAAAAAGCCGGAGCACCGACCCCAAAATACATCCTCTCTCTGTTTTTGCAGTGCCTCACTCTTTTGATTTACTTCTATTTATAACAACGTTTTCCTTTTCTTTCTTTTAATTTAATTATATAAATTAGAGTGAGGAGCTTGGTGTGAGATGGTGTGGTTAAAGGGGTACTAAGCTAGTTAGAATGTCCTCAACCCTGTTGATGCTAGTTTGCTCCTTCTCATATTTATTAAATATATATATTTACTATATAATTGTAAAAAATATAATTAAATATTTAAGCTCGCTTCCTACAGGTCGAAAATTTTCACATGACACAAAAAAAATTGAACTGCGCAAGTAGGAACAAACTATAATGAAGAAAACTTTTCATAAAAAGCTACCGGGAATCTATCATGAAGTGAATATTCACATGCACGCCTTATTTCATCATCAATAAATCAAGAATCCATTCTATGCAATTTGCTTTACAGGGTCAATGTTCTATTTTACGTATCTTTTTCGCAATAAATGAATAAATATCAATGAAAAAAAGGCCTCAAATCGAACGGGGACGAAATTCCATCAAAAGTTTCTGTTATTATAGGCACACAAAACAGGAACCCCAGTCACAACGCCCCCAAAGTTACTCTTTCCAACCGGCACTCCCACTGTCATCTGCTCCGGCGCCAACACCGATGCCGAACACGTGTACTCCGGTATCGGCACTTCCATCCTCACAGAGACATTAATAATTCCATTCTTCTCGCCCCTAGAATCTCTCAATCTGTAGCTCAAGAAGTGCAAGTAACCACTCTCCGACAAGTATCCACCTGAAAAGTCCGCCACCGGAACCGACACCGTTCCGACAATTTTGTCGCCAAACGCAGTCTTGCAGTGTACTTCCAGAGTCACGGCCTGCGCGTGCGCCGGCAAGTCGAGGACAAGCTTCTCGTTCCAGTTGGGACGGCTTCCGCTTTCGCCGCCGTCCATCTCCGTCGTCCGAAAGTTGCTTCCGTCGGATCGGACAACCACGAACGTGTTCTTCTTGACGGATTTTCTGGCCAATCGGAGATCTTCGCCGGATAACACAGTCATTTCTACTGTCCGCGATGAGTAGTAATTATCATAGTACTTCGCCATTATTGTACCTAGCTAGCAAGAAATATATGAACCAGTTGTGAGAGAACTTAATTTGCTGAAATTCGGTGTTCTTCTTTTCTTTTCTTTCCTTTTTTTTTTTTTTTTTTTTTTTTTTGAAGAATATACTATGACAGATTTGTGTGAGTGAATTGTGAAGTTAAGGCTTGTGTGTGGAAATATATATATAGGTTGGTTTAGAATTTTAAAAGAAGTGTGATGGAAAGAAGGAAGAAGTAGATATGTGGTTTCTGACAAATTGTGCGGTTTGGTATTAAAGTTGACCAAACGCGGTCCATAAGAAAAAAAGTACTTTTTGGAAGTAGCTACGAGTTTGCTAAGAAATGGATAAGGAGACTATAAACATTTTCTTTAATTATATCACCTAATTGGTGTTATGTGTGAATATATGATATGCTAATTAACTCAAAGAAAAAACACGTGGTAAATATTAAATGGTTATGGGATGGTATAAGTTACAAAGCATATTTCTTTAGCAAAAATAATGGATAAATAAACATCAGGCATATATAGCCTTGCACCTTACAGTTGTTCTGCCAGTAACTGACCCTATTCATTAAGGGCAAAAAGTCAACTAGAAAAGAAATTGAAAATAAAAATAAAATTAGAATATGCACCCTTTTTTTATATGATGTGAAGCATATGATACTCACTTTACTAACAAGAAATAAAATCATCAAAATTTGAATATTGATGAACACACAATCATAGAATTATGTAAAAGTAGATGTTTTTAGACAATTTTTAAAACATACAATTTCTGTAATTATTTCTTATACTATCTATCCTGGAAATATCCAAGGTTGACGTGGTCCAAACCAAGTCCGCGGATATTTGCCAATTGTTTTACCGAAAGAAACATATTGAGCAGCGCAAAGAATTACAAGCCACGTAAACAGCAGCAAATTTAATAATCAGAAAAGAAAAGTAAGAACACGAATATCAGCCAAAGTCCAAACAACGTCCAACGCGTGCCCGCCTCCTTTGGGTTAGTCAACCAACGTATTTCATGCACCTTAATTTACCAACGTTCTAATGCCACACCACTGGCTTCAAAGTCAATACCAAAGTTTCCATATATTTTTCCCCATCATCAGCTTGCTTCGTACCCAAAAAAAAATAATAATAATAATCCTTTAGTAACCAAATTAATACAAAATTCAGATTCAAATACCTGTTCAATTTTAAATATCTTAAATAGTATCTAACCAATCACATTTTAACATGTTAATTAATGAAATCAAACATTGAAATATGAAAAAAATAGATCAAAAAACATTTTAAATTTTATTAAATGGTGTGACATAATTTAGTTGGTTAGATATAAATTTAGATAATATTAAAATTGCATATATATTTTTTTTGTCGAAATTGAATTGGCGATTTGCATTCCAACATTTTAGTAGACTTGACTAATGTCACGCATGTCTGGTGAGCTTATCTGAGCCTTTTTAGATTTACACATAAATGTAATATATGTGTTGATATTCGGGGCTTGCCGACGAGCCAATTAGCTATAATATATATGTCAATATATTGTTGGAGTTGACTTGTGCAAGTTGTATTTGATCAATTTCAAATTGCCACCTTGATGAGTTTCTAATCTGATCGCAAGAGTATGAAATAGAAAGTATATATAAAAGTATTAATATGCACTAATAACAACATAAGACTACTGTTCAAATTTATATGCTAATTACATATAATAGTTTTAATTTTAATTTGTTTAGCTTTTTTCTTACAAACTATTTATTGTGCGGACCACAACCGTACAATTTAAATAAGAAAACATAGAGGTACTTTGGCAGAAAATATGACGGTATTGTTTAAGAAATCTCAGTATTCCGCGCGCTCACATACTATATGCTCACATATTACTGGTTTTACAACTTTAGCCAATTATATTAAAAGAAAAAAAAAAAAAAAAACATTGTAGTGTTTATTAGCATAATAAATAAGGACGTATGGCATGCGCCTGCAGAAGTGAGATCAATAACTGAGACGATTGACCAGACAAGAGGAAGGTAGTCAACGTTTTCTAAGTCACAAAATTAAATTAGAAAAGCCAGCAAATATATAAATAAATATATATATATATATATATATATATAGGAGGCATTCCCGCGAGAGTTCCTGATTCTTTTTTTCCTTCTTTTATTGGGAATTCCAACACATCGAAACTTCTCAGTATAACAAAGAAACTTTTAAACCACCATGTTGCAAGCTCAGGAATCTAATTAAGATATATTTTTCCTTTATTTGTGTGAGGAGTAATAGATTTGAAGTCTGGATTTCATGGTATAAGATTAATGTGACTAGCTACCATCGCATTAGAACAGTTGAAACATGTTGCATACGATTAAGTACAGTTGAGGAAACATATCAAACATATCACAGAAAAATGCTAAAAAGTTCTTTTAGAGGCACCATAATCAAACCAAAAGGATACTATTGTTAAATCCAACTTCTACCACTATGTTTAGGCCCTTAGGACTTATAAGAGGAAAAGTATCATTTGACATATATTTTAGGAGAAATGTTAGGTTAATCACTTTGTCACTTTCTTCATCACTTTTTACTTTTTACTAATGCGGTATCTCATTTCCTTATAATAATAATAAATAAATAACATAATTTTAGACCTTTTTAATTTTTAATTACAATCATGCCACTCTTTTTTTTTTCACGAATAAAAGATAAAAATATGGAGAGTTTTTTATCACTTATTACAACATTGGCAGGGTCCATAAAAAATAAAAAAAAATAATAATAAAAAAATGCCATAGAGCCTTTTTATCTTCTTCAGAGCACGCTAAAGGAGAATGGAGCAAGCGTCGTCTTCTTTGTTTTTCCTTTCAGAAAGAAAAACATTGCTGGTTGTTGCTTGTATTTTCTAGCGATCAAAACCAATGTTAGGAAAAAAAAGTTATTTGTTTTGAAAAGGAAACGACATTATTGCATAGAGAAAATTGCACAAGATCTGATATCACTCTTTTTAAAAAAAAAAAAAATAGATGTACTTGCACATCATCGTTACCCGTATGCATATAGCAAAGATTTCGAATTTATCCTTAGTTAATTAAAAATCTTATCGTGTTTAAATCCTATCACATTTAAAACCTTTTTCATCAGTTAAGTGATAATAAACTCTAGATTTTTTTTATCTTTTATTTGTGGAAGGAGTGGCAAGTATGAGAATTACCCAATGCAAAATAGAAAAAAAAAAAAAAAAAAAAAAAAAAAAAAAAAAAAAAAAAAAGAAGAAGAAGAAGAAGAGAGAGGCGTAATGCCAAAATTCTATTGCAATTGCAAAGAAAACCGAATTCATTGAATAAATTAATAAAGAGGGTTTATATAAAACTAATAAAGAGAGTTTATATAGCCCCACAAGCATAATAATAAAGACTCATATACCCTTAGTAATAAAAAGGAATAACCAAATAACCAAATAACCAATCCTAACTCTAAAATAGAGATAAATATGTTAACATATTTAGGGTTAGGATTAGTTATTTGGTTATTTACCAACTAAAAAACAAAAATAAAACTAAAAACTGAAACACGACTTCACAAATAATTCTGTAATTTTATACGTATGTCAATGCCAATACCAATGTTAATGCCGGAGCCGATGTCAATGCCAATGCTAATGTCAATACCGATGCCCATGCTAATGCCAATACCAAAGCCCTACATGAGCCAATCAAAAAAGAGAGAGAATACAAAAAAGGTGGAGAATGCAACCAATCAAAGATGAGGGGAGAGTGCAATGCCAATACCCAATTTGGGTCAATCATAAAAAGAGGAGAAAGAATGCAAATATCACTACCCAATACGATAGTGTCAGAGTCCAAACGGAAGCAAGTAGAAGCAAAAAACCGACTGTATGACCATTGATTGAAAACTAATAATTAGACTCAATCAAATTATATGATCTCTAAGACCCCATTCTCTATTCAAATTTGTTTCTTCTTCTTCTTACAGTGTGAAAACATAATTTTTCAAAATCCAACTCTCGAAAATTCTATCCGAATTCACATAAACATAGAGCGGAAACGGTAGCGAGGGGAATGGAAAAAACTGATTGTATAATCACCGAATGCAAGCGGAAGCAAAATAATTGCCGAATTCGTACTCACAAAGAACTCAAGCCAACAAATCCAAACAAAAACAAAAGACACCAAGAGGTTGCACGAATTCCCAGGCCACTTCACCAAAATCTGATCAATGCCACACAAAAAAAATAAAAAATAAAAAAAATCGTTGCAAAATTTTCAATCAATCGGAGTTTTCTTCACGATTTTGTATGCAACACTCAATCCAATTTTTTTAATGAATTCATCAAACCCAAAACTCAAACAGTGCAAAAATTTTCAACCAATGCCATATATTTACTGACCCACTTCAATAACAAATCCAACTGCAACACGTATTCAAAATCAGACAGACTGCAATTCTGCCGTACTTCTTCTCCAAATCAATAGCAATATGTGTGGTTGACCTCCGATTTCAATTGCAAGCTACGATGTCAATGCTACTTCCGATTCCAATTGCAAAAGACATTGTAAATTAACGGTAATCAATCCCAATCCCATAAAAATCACTGCTCTGGTATCATGTGAGAATTACCTAATACAAAATAGAAAAAGAAAAGTTCTAGTGAAATTGCAGAGAAAACTTAATTCATTGAATAAACTAATAAAGAATGATTTATATAGCCCTACAAGCATAATAATAAAAGATTAATCTACCCTGAGAAATAACCAAATAACCAATTCTAATCTTAAAATAAAGATAAATAACGTTGACAACAAGATTATAATTATGCTTTTTTTTATAGGGAAATGAGATGCCACATTAATTAGGTCGAGGAGACATGAGACTACTTATTTTATTTTAGTGTATTAGATATAATATTATCCCTTTTATGTTTAGTATGTTATCTAAACTTGTAAATTTATTACGTATGACTTATGGTTGGTATTCGATTTTATTAATTCATGTGGTATATGATTATTTGTTATTTTTATTTATTATATTAAATTTTATTATTACAAAACATATTTTATTAATCAATTCATATCAAATCTTCAATTCTAATTATTAAAATAAACAAAGAAACACAAAAGTTTATTCAAAAATAAAAAATTAATTTTAAAAAAATTAATTACGTAAACTTTTAACGACGCCTAATATCATTGCTATAAATAAAAAATTACGATATTTTTAAAAATTAAATACATTTAGTGACCGCAATTTTAAAAAAGTCGTCGCTATTAATACACTATGAGCGACAACAATTTAAAAAAATCATCGCTAAATGTTCAAACACAAACCTGGGAATGAAAACCTGACATGTTTTCAACAACTAAAGTGGCCTTTTATAATGACGACATTTTCGTCACTATATAGTATTTTTTAGCGACAACACGCTTGTCGTCGTTAAATATGTTTTTAGCGACAACTATTTGGTGACGACAATGGCGCTTTTAGCGATGATAGTTGTCATCGCTAAAAAACCACTTTCTTGTAGTGAGAGGGACAAAGTCCAAAGGCTGCAGCGCGTTAGACATCTGATGCTCCCGACGGAGGAGACAGACGAAGTATGCCGTTCTCCACCCAATACATCACCAAAAACTAACTCCTTCCAACCAAATAGACAAGCCCTTCACTAGGCTCCTTACTACACTGCCGAGACTTCCATCCCTGGGCGAGGAGTCCAAAGGGCAGCCAAAATGCCGCCGCGAGACTACATCCCTAATTGAGAGACGCCAAAAAAACCCTAGAGAGGAAAAAACCCTAGAGAGATCGAGAATTAAGGGGAAAAAAATTTGAACCACTTATAATATCAATTCAATTATCGTTAGTCAATAAAAAAAAAAAAAAAAAAAAAAAAAAAAAAAAAAAAAAAAAAACCTCGTAAGCCAGCGCATTTAATTGTTTACTTTAAAAGAAAAATAAGCATTTAGTAGCTAATTACTGAAACTTTCATGCATCTATGTTGTAAATTCTTTATCATGTTTTGGATAAGAGTTTTCTTCTCATACGTGTAAGTAATACAAGATTATTGGCCCCAAAAAAAAAGGACATATAAGGTTTAGTCCCAGCTGCCCCGCCGACAGACATTATTGGAATTTTCATAACCAACTCAGACAGTGAGATCTTGCGAAATTGCCAATGACATTCCTCTTTTCTCTTGTTGAAGAATTGCCCATGAATTTTAAAACACAACCATTTTTTTTATTATTTTTCTGGGAACAGGAATTCCGATAAATATAGCAATTAATGAATATTTTACACTCAACTCAGGAGAATAACGGGAAATTTTCTTGCCCTAGTCCCGGACACGATAGAATTGAATTTCCATGTAAATATACTGAAGACCAACATATTCAAATCCGTAAAGGATCCAACAACATTTAATCCAAGGTCAACACAAGACCAAAATTTTGTAGGTTGTAATAATAACAACTTTGTTGAAATACAACATTTTGTAGGTTATGCAACTTTTCTTCTTTTTTTTTTTTGAAATTTCTATATATGATAACTCCTATCATAGAAATTCTTTTTTTTTCTTGTTTTTACTTCTTTTACAATTTAGCACATAAAATGATACAGTTATAACTTCAAGGATCTTATGTACGTAATAATATCTAGGCTCTAAACTTGATCTTGGGATGTGTGTGTGTATATATATATATATATATGTGATTCATCGGACAAAAAAAGGGGATGTATATGTGATTTGGTAGAAAATTACTAATTAGTTAGTTCTATTACGGAATGCTAGAATTATCGCCTTGAGTGATTGTTAATATTGAATTTTAAATTAGTAAAAAATTTGACATATGAAAGAGAGTGTGAGACTTTTTTGACAACAGATATTGTGGGATTTTGTATCATTATCGATGAGTCAGTATGTTGACATGTAAATTTATGATTGAATAAAAATGTGCGGTATTAGTTATTGATTGTCTATTAGGTGTTTTTTAAAGTATCAATAAAAACTTATTATACAGTAATATCGATTCTGATTATTTTGTTCTTATCTTAGTGCCATATCACATTCTGATAATTATAGAATTGGCATCTATATTAACAAAAATAAAAAATAAAATAAAAACCTATAATGAAACTTACCGTTATTTGTTGTGGTGTTATCTGTTATTAATAGAGCAGAATAGCACTTAATCCTCAAAATAACATTTATATGAGTGACGACAACAAAAAACATGACAACAGCTACTTTCCACAATAGCTGCCTTTTTTCTTTTTTTTTTTTTTTTTTTCGAAGGGGGCGTGTTTGGTCAATTTTGAAATCAACCAACAGAAACAACACGGCTCCTCCTTTCTTCTTTCTATCAAACTTCCTCAAACCAACCGAACTCTACGTGTGTATATATACGCACACATATCTACCCGAGAACAAAAAACACAATATCCATCTATCCTCCCCCATTTTCCCTGACACAAAATCTAACACATTCTGCACAATCTACACGCAGATAAACAAACCTATGGAAAAATACTGCCATCCCCCATCACGAACGGTAGAGATAACTATTTTATCCGGCGAAGATCTCCGGATCGACCGGAGATCCATACAGAAGAATGCCTTCGTCGTCGTACGATGCGACGCGAACAACTTCCGAACGACGGAGATGGACGGCGAAGGCGGAAGCTACCCTAAGTGGAACGAGAGGCTCATCCTCGACCTGCCGGCCCATGCGCAGGCCGTGACACTCGAGGTGCACTGCAAGACCGCGTTTGGCAACAAAGTTGTCGGGACGGCGTCGGTTCCGGTGTCCGATTTTGTGGGCGGTTACGTGCCAGAGAGTTACTTGCATTTCTTGAGCTACAGATTGAGGGATTCTAGAGGCGTGAGGAATGGAATTATCAACATTTCCGTGAAGATGAAGGACCCGGCAGCGCCACAGTATTCGTTTTCGGCATCGGCGTCTGCGGCGGAGCAGACGACGGTGGGCGTGCCGGTGGGGAGGAGTGACAATGGGGTTGGCGTTGTGACTGGGGTTCCTGTTTGGTGTGCGTATAATAGTAGAAACTTTTGAACAAGCTAATTAGGAAGTTTCGTCACGTTTGGTTTTGAAGAAGTCTCCAAAACTGGAAAGTAGAGAGTCGTTTTTTTTTTTTTTTTTAATAAGAGAAGTACTAGAAAGTTTACGACATAAACCAGTATTTGCATTAGAGGTATTTACACTTGAGTGATGGATTTTGGTTATGGAAGGATATCATGTAAATATATATTAATATACAATATAAAAGAAGCTTCGTTAATTTGTACTTGAGACTTAAAAAGTGGAGTTCCTAGATTTGTTGTATACATGTTACTATTTAATTTCTGTTTCTAGGAAAGATATCATTGTTTGCGCGTTATTAATTGGGTATATTTACATACAATAATTGATTTAGATGTCCTCGTTTATAACGTTACTTTCATCCAGTATGTAGTAAATGGGAAAAAGAGAAAAAATGCAGGATTCAGATTTGGTGAACCATTGACGTTTTAATCTGCAAATAATATGGAAACATTTGCAACAATTTAAGAATAAGTATTATATTCTAATAAAAAAAAAGAGCAAAGTATTATGGCTTTTGTATCGTAATTTTAGAATAAATAAGGACACAGACCATTTATTTTATGTAAGAACAATTTTTATAAGGTGTAATAAATACCTAGTCGATCTATGATAAATAATTCTTTGATATTATACTCTTTTAAAGTTATTTTTTTTTATATAAAATAAAGATTTAATCCCAATTCACTACAACAAAAAAGCCCATTTGCGATGACATTTGTCGTCGCAAATAATACAATATTTGCGACGACATGTCGTCGTACTTACTCCCCGTTTAAAAAAATAACCACGTCGTCGCTAATAACTTAAATGTCGTCGTAAATAATTTTGGAGCACAAATTTTAATGGCGCGGATTTTTGCCGCCAAGGTAATCCATTTTTTGCGACGACATCGCAAATATTATTTGCGACGACAACAAATAATTTCATGTTATTTGCGATGACTTTTTCTCTTTGTCGTTGCAAATAATCTTTTCAAGATTTCACCAAAAACCAAGCGCAGGAAAAATGATTATTTGCGACATTTTCCATTTATTTGCGACGACTAAATAATTTAATGTTATTTGCGATGACTTTTTCTCTTTGTCGTCGCAAATAATCTTTTCAAGATTTCATCAAAAAACTAAACGCGGGAAAAATGATTATTTGCGACGACATTTTCCATTTATTTGCGACGACTATGTCGTCGCAAATAAGTTCATGTTATTTGCAACGACTTTTTCTCTTTGTCGTCGCAAATAATCTTTTCAAGATTTCACCAAAAAACTAAACGCGGGAATAATGATTATTTGCGACGATAAATAAGTCTGATATAATATACCATATCTTCTTCCTCTTCATTTTCTCCCGACGCTTTCTATCTCTCTCCTGCTAAGTCTCTCTCTCTCTGCCTCTTCTTCACCTCGCCGCCGCCGCTGCCCATTGCCACCGGCCCTCTTCTCTCTCTCATCCCTTCTCTCTTCCCTTCTCTCTCTCTCTCTCTTCCCTTCTCTCTCTCTCTTCTTCCCCTCTCCGGCCGCCGCCGCCGCTCCCGCTGCCCCGCCCCTGCCACTCCTCTCTCCTCTTCTATCTCTCTCTCTCTCTTCCCTTAGCGAGGTATCTCTCCGGAGCTGGGGCATCGAAGAAGAGTCGGCCGACTAGCGGTATACCCCATTTTAATTCTGTCTTTTTGTTTTAAGCTAAGCTTTGTTCTTGTGATTTTATGCTTACGTTTCACATTTCTGATGCAGCAAATTGAAATGCACTGAAATTGAGTTGTGACTTTCTCTGAATGTAGTAAATTAAGGGGGGGCGGGGGCATGGAAGTGCCCACAGGGTGCGCAGGGAGGCACTGGTGCGCAGGGGGGGGGGGCCCTGGCGCGCGCGGCAGGGCATTTTTTAAAAATTATAAAAAAAAAATTAATTTTGGTTTTTTGCGACGACTTTTTTAGACTTGTCGTCGCTAAAAAATAAGATTATTTGCGACGACAATTTGAAATGTCGTCGCAAAACATGATCATAGACGAGAATTTTACAACGACGTATTAGCGACGCCTATCGTCGCAAATACAGAGTGTCGTCACAAATACATTTGCGACGACACTACATCGTCGCAAAAAAAGTTTTTGCGACGAAATATTTGCGACGACTTGTCGTCGCAAAAAACTTTATTTGCGACGACATTCGGGTTTTTGCGACTACTTTTTGTCGTCGCAAAAACCCCTTTTTCTTATAGTGATTTTAGTTCATGAACTATAGGCCAATTCCTATTTAGTTAGTGACATTCTATTTAAGCTGTTCAAAATAGTCACATCGTTTCTTAGAAAATAGGGGACACTAAACATGCGATGACCATGTACGGTTTAAGGGAGGACGTTAATTTTGTAATTTATAGGCTACTCAAGGGGTTCATCTCTTTGTCTTCAAGCTCAATTTTTCACGCCGAAAGGAATTTTTTTTTTTTTTTTCCTTTTTTGACAGGAAATTCTCATTCAAATATCAACTAATCAAATTAAAAGATTAGCATAATCTTCTCCATCTCTTCGTAATTCGGTTTATTTTCCCTTAGGAACTTTGCATCCTAAATGTAGTTCTAAACACTTAGCAATGATTTATGTTGCTGCTAAATCATTATGACAACCAAAATTGGCGAGATCTTTACAGTATCAAGTATTGTTTTAACCTTTTAGCAAAGACAAATGACATCATTGAGAATGTGTAAATATTTTAACTCTTTAGTAACGGCATAAATTGTCTCTAAAACCGTCTCTCATATGGGATTCCTATGGAATATTAGACAACGTATTTTTCAAGTGGCCGTCGCATATAGTACTAACAAGTTTCTTTGGTCTATTTCCAACCAAAAAAAATAGGCAATTGATAAAATCAGCTTATCGAAAATTGTTCACCTTCAGTACGTATCAAATGAAATATCTCTAGGCAAAAAAAATTAACTAATTTTGTTTCAAAAGTCAAATTAATATACCAAATTTTTGCTGAAGTAAAATTAAGGAACTTTGGTCATGTAGTTCAAATTAATGTGTAAGCGAGAGACGTAATCCAATACCATACGTTGCTTGTGGTTATTGATCTAATTAGGCTCTCAAATTTTATCTATATATATATATATATATATATTTCCCAATATGAGTTGATTATACTATATCCTCACCCCTCAAGAAAACGCGTACGTATATGATGCGATGATACGAATGAGCATTGACAGCATTATTAATTATTACAATATAAAAGTCGACAAGTCATCTACTTTTTTTTTTTTTTAAGTTTCTTCAAGTTTGACCTTAGAATCCACGAGCGCCGCCGTTATCTTTTGACTTGGTAAAATAGGACCTTCGTTATGAATTTAATCGAGATTGTTGTATCATGAACAGTAAACTCCACGTGTATTGGTATGTATCACGTCATGTATAATAACCCAAAAACATAACTTTCACATGAAATATCACATAACATCTTAACCTCTCTAACACTATGTTTGGTAAGAGGAGAGATGGAGAGAGGGGAGGGGGATGGAGGCGAGAAAGTGAATTCTTTGCTTGGTCGGAAGGAGGAGAGAAGGGAACAAAGACATGGAGGGAGATCCTTTCAGACCCATTAATTTGGACGTGAGAATCTAACTAATCCACTTAAATTTAACTCAAAAGAAATTTTTATTCTTGAAAAGAAATTATAAACAAATAGGAAAAAGAGCAATATAGTAATTAAACAAATAACTATCATTTATCTTTTTAAGTCTTTTCTCTCTCCTCTCAAACAGCATAAAAGATTAGCATAATCATCTCCATCTCTCGTGTTCATCAACCATCTAACTCTCTTCATCCTTCATCTTCCTCATCCCTCCTACCAAACAGAGTGTAGGGACTAACCATTTCATGTTTTTAGTCAAAAATATGACTTTTTTTACTTTTATCCGCTCCAACCATTGGCTAAGGGGACGTTTGGAATGGAGATTTGTATCATGATTCGAATCATGGTTCATGGCTCGCTACAGTATTTTCTCTCACAAAAAATACACGTAAAACGAGAATGATTCTGAATCATGGTCCTGAATCTATGAACCAAACATCCCCTAAATGTTTAAGAAAATGCATTTGAGAATGTTTAGTCAATTCATTTTTTAACCAAAATGGCTAATGATTTAACTTTTTTTTTAACTTTTCTCCGCTCTAACCACTAGTCAAATGATTAGCTATTTTGAAGAGTGCATCTCACTAACCAAATATAGTCAGTAAGAAGAGGCTAGCCATTTCATTTTTTTCTATTATTTTATTCTTTCAAACAATAATAAATACAAGGGTTCCTTTCTAATTTCAATAAAATTATTTATATTTTAAATTTAATAAATATTTAAATAATCTATGTTTAGTTAAAATAGATAGTCTGATTGGAGTGTCCCACCCAAAAGCTGCTAGCTAATATAACTTTATAGCTATTTTAATTAAAAGAGTTAAATTCATAAATAGCCCCTGAATTTTTTTTTCTTTCTACAATTAGTCTTGTAGTCAATTAATCTCATAAATAGTCTTTGAACTCAAAAAGTTTCTCGTAAATGGTCTCTCCATTAAATTTTAGATAGAAACTATTAACTTTATTTTATAAGAGGTCCCTAAACTATTTTCTCTCTATTAAATTTAATCCCTAAACTTAAAAGAAAAAGAATATGCCAAAATTGCTTCATTTTTAAATAAATGGATGTAAAAAAAATTAAATATGAAAATTGTACCAAACTTAGTCCCTAAACTAAAACAAAAAAAGTGATTCTATTGACACGTATTAAATTTCTAAATAACCCAATAAAAACAATAATATTTTTATTTTTTATTATAGTAGATAAAACAATGTTATGAAATAATTGTGTAATACACTTTGTTGTATTGTGGATTGTTGTTTGCGATCAATTACTTTTACTCTTTTTTAGGGAACCTTTTTCCCTTAGTTTGGTGGAAAAGATTCTAATTAATCAATGGTTAAGATATATATGAGTATTGTATTCTTGGTTAAATTTTGAATGTGTTGGGTTCCATCTTTTTGCTTTGTTTTGAATTAAATTAGTTTTTAATTATATTTTTATGAAAATTTATTTTTTATTAAGAAAATAAAAAACTAAAGTCATAGATTGGGTGATAAGACGGTTAAAATGGGTATAATACAAAAGATATTATTGAAAATATGTCTTTAATGTTATTATTATAAGATAATAATAATTTTGGAACATTTATTAATACGTTAGGGTAAATATAATCACTCAAAAAAATATCAAAATTACACATGTGAATAAATTGATAAAAAAATTCAAATATGTGTATTAAAAAAACTAATTTT